CACTCTTGGTATTTGGTGCATCCGATAGTAACAGACATTTTCACCCGTTCGGTGTTGCACTTGTTTCTGATGATGAGAGTTCATCGTGTTATGAACATTTGTTTACGTCACTCCAATCATTAAGTATTCAAGGATTACATCAGTCGTACTCACCTGGATTCATAATGGCAGATGGAGTATTAGGTATGCAGACATGAGCAGAAAAATAGTTTCATGCTAACTTTCTGTCTTTTTTAAGGAGTTACTTCTGCTCAACAAAAAATATTTCCACAAGCAAAACGACTTATGTGTTGGTTTCATATGATAAAAAAATGTCGTGAACATCGAAATCTGGTGGCTAAACAACAGTGGGATGAAATCCATAAAGAGATCCATGCTGTACAATTGAGTTTTAGCGCGAAGTATTTAATCATGGAATGAATCTTCTAATGACTAAATGGCGTTCTGATACATCGTTGACTAAGTTTTGTGACTATTTTTATGATCAATGGATCGGAAAACTGTCGTACTGGTAATAGAACTTAACGTTCTATTCATAATTTTCTGTACCTGAAAACTCTGGTTGCATCAATGTTCTCGAAGAAAAGTCCGAGTAAAACATGATGCAATCGACGGGAAATGTAATATATGAATATGAAGATAGGTATGAAGGCTGTGTGTTAAATATACCAGCCACAAACAATGGTAGTGAATCAATGAATGCTAAAATCAAGCAGCAATATACACTTCGAAATAAATTACATCTGTCGTCATTTCTTCCAAAGATTGAGACCATGCTGGGTGATTGGTCGAAGCATTGTGACACCAATCCATTTTCGGTTTGCGCGTCCATCATACCCGATTGCGAACTAGCCGGTTATAAATGGGCTACAATGATTGATCGTAACAGTATTCTTTACTGGCATGGCAATTTTTATGTTGTACCGTCATCGAACGCCCATATAACATCGTCGGCCTGGTTAGATATTTGTCGTTCTCGTCAGTGGCTCACATTTAATGATTTTTGGTGTGGCAACAATCCTTTAGCTAGTTGCACCATTACAATCATGTAGCTGTCCAGTTGGCATGAAACAATATTCATGTAAACATTCGGTTGGATTGGCAATTTTATTTAACTTGTATCAAGTCAGCGATAAAACACATATTCAACCATTGGGCAAACGAAAAACAAAAGGACGCCCCAAGAAAGTTAGCAAAGCTTTAAATTTGTAAATAATTGTAAATAAAACTGTGAAAATATTGCCTTTGATAAAATTTATATGTTTATATGTATAAAAATGTGATGCTGGAAAATTTGGTGATCAAAAGTATCTTTCTTTGGTGATTATTTGTATCTAAAAGCGTTTGGTGATCAAAACAATTGACACCCCTTTATCGCTCTTTTTAAAAACGATCGAAAAGCGTGAACAGAGAATGAAGAGAAGTATATATCTTTATTTTAAGCGAATAGGTACCTACACCTTTCGATTGAATTCTTAACGATCAAAGAGTGCTTCGAGTAGGTATGCAAAGCTTTTTTAAACTTCCAGCAGCAGTCAAACGGACCTCAGAAGAAAAAAGATTTTTTCTCTACAAGGGATATTGAGGCAAGTGTCCCGTAAAGTTAGCCTCTGCTAATGGGCAACCATCAGCATTGTTGGCGCCAG